ATGTCACATCTATGATCCTAGAGATATGATATAAAAATGATACATAAATAGTTCATTTTTAAATGATCATAATAGGATCATATTTAGATCATTTTTATAAATTATATCATCATTTTAAGCTCATATTTAAATCATTTTAGGATCATAATACGATCATTTTCACTTCATATCATAAATGAGCCATACATGTCTCATTTCCTGTTACCTGGGCACCTACCAGTGATGGTGCTTTTTACAGTGTTTTAAAAAGTACTATCTCATTGGTTGAATCATGAAATTAAAAATTTTCAACTGGTCGAACGAGAAGTCGTACAAGGTTGAGAGCGATATCATTTTAAACAGAACTTTGTACTTTATAAAATTAAGGTACTTCAAGAATTTTGTTTTTCTAGGTAACACTTTTGAAATTAAAATTCGATGCACTTTTTCAAAATTGACTTGAACTTGAATGAGAACCCCCTGTTAGACTTTATTTTATCGAAATTCTGAAAGGACAGTTTTGTTCAGTTTTTCATGCTCTTTCGAACAATGTATTCTAAAACTTTTTGGTCGACGTTGATTATGAAAAAATTTCAATTTTTCGAATTTTTTAAGCCTTTTTGGATAAAAGTCAAATTTGGAGTTCAAGATTACCGGCTTTCATTAAGTCATTATTACAAAAATATAGTCCATATAAATTTAATGTTTCTTAACAGTTGTTTACGAAGGAGAAAAGTCAAAATAAGAAAAAAGATTTATACTTTTGTCGGCTAGGAGAAAAATATTTTGAAACCTAAAGGTTCAGTTTCCAGTTCTTGTTCAGCAAAGTTTTCGATTAAATGGATCTTCAAGCCTTGGATGTAAGCTAATTATACCACACTTTGAATCTCTTTAAATGTTTTCCATTGAAGAGGAAAAACTAGAAAAGAAAATAGTTTAAAGTTTTGTCGTATCATCGACCAATAGGTCTAAAAATATTATACTTGAGTCAATAGATCTAAGTTTTATCGATTTATCAAACGATAATATAAAAGCACGATGTATAGAAAATATAAAGTTTTTTTTTATTTCTAACTAAAAAAAACACATTTCTTAATAAAAAAAAATGTCAGATGTCTATCTAACATGCTACAAATGTCCACTGTAAAAACAGCAGTCTATCATGTTAAAATAATTCTATCTCTCTTTCTCGTTATTTTGAACTCTAACATATTTTCTAATTCATTTGGATTTTTAGATAGATGAGGCATTCTCCTTTCTCTCGTTCAAAAAGAAAATCGATTATTACTCGTTGATGAGAAGAAACTTATTTGAATGTAATTAAGATATTCTACTAGAAATTTATCAGACATATATTACAAAAACATTTGTGAAATAAAAAATTAGCAAAACAACGAGAAATTTCAATTTTACTATCCTTTCTCATTCTATCCCTTTTCAAAAGAAATAATGGGAAAGTACTATTCCTGTTTAGTAAAAAAAATATCTACTCATTAAATATTGATGTGTTACACAAAAACAAATCAATATTCGTACAAATTAGTTATCTATTCATCATTGCACTTTAGTTATAAAATATACATCACATTTAAAATCAAATGTTCTCCTTTTCTCAAAATAAGTTTTCATCGGATAAATATAGAAAAAAAAAGAAACAAGAAAAAAAGATTGTCATTCTGCACAATATTTCAAATGTTTGATTTAACACACACTTCTACGACAGATACATGCAATCAACTTAAATTAAAGTGATTTCTAAACTAATGGCAAGTACACTCATGCTTTCTTTTTCTCGTTATAATCTAAATAAGTAATGATAATCTCTCTAATAATATTTATTTTCCTTTGCTTACCAAATTACTTGGATTCTTCTACGTTGTTTACAATGACATTTTCTCTTTCGACCACTAACTCGCTCTATGATGATTGTATTATGGATGACTATCAATATTGTCGTCGACCATTTGATTTTATCATCAATTCACCTATGAATAGTTGTTGGAAAAATGCACAGAAATTTACCTATTCTCAATTACATTCAATGAATATAAGTAGTGAACAGTTACTAAAATGGCGAATATATTCAGCTTACGATTATGCTATTTATTTACAAACATTTAACGCATCTCTAACTGTCAATAATTCTCAATTTGTATGCAATTGTTCAGATAACTTTGTCGGTCGATATTGTGAGTATCAATATTCTACACAGTTAACGTTTCATGAACAATTAATAAAACAAGAAAGTGAACGAGAATTCTTAATATTAAATAGTAAAAATGATACATATGATAATTATGAAATTGATGATTTTCCACTTTATCTCAGTACACCATCGATACCACAAAATATTAGTACCATTGATAATCGATTGAAATGGCGTGCAGCACTTGTGTGTTATATTGATATTAATTGTACAAGAGGGACGCCATGCTTGGACTGGCGACAGATTTGTGATGGAAGGTGGGTAAAGTTGAGCAGTAACTATTATTTGTTTCATAAAAAGTGTATAAACATGATTATCATATCTCGGTTTCACTTTCAATTTGTTGAATTATCGCTCATTCAATTTTGTACTTACATTTGTCAGTTATAATTAAAAGGATTCATTTCACCACATTTTTTTCACCAGTTTCTAGAAGAATCTTCAGAGTATATACACTAAAAAGTTTTTAAGTTTTTTTATATTTTTTCTTCAGTTTTAACTCTTAACGTTTCATGCAGCTCTGGCAGGACTATCGAAATTCGATTTTATATTTTAGCTATTTAGTGATGGAGCAAAGGGAAAAAAAGTTGTTTTTTATCAACCGATAGTTTGTGAAGTCTACTATGTAGATGTTCACCAGTTTTGGATTGGATGATTCATTTACTTTTTACAATGTTTCTAAAAACGATGATTCCAATGCTACGCCCTTTTCGATATGATGACTTGATTCTAGTGTAGCGTTCGATAGAGGATATTAAATTGTATAAGAAAATAAAAGTGTCATCGAAGTTTTAGGCAGAAATTTAACTTTTACCTTCCGAATAGAACTTCTGAGCTAAAAGTGAGAAACAGAAAATTTTAAAAAAGCAATAGTTTCAAGTCTTGACCGCTATTCTCAAACCTTTGCAGAAGGTAAAAGTTAAATGTCTGCCTAAAACTTCAATGACACTTTTATTTTCTTATACAATTCAATATCCTCTATCGAACGCTACACTAGAATCAAGTCATCATATCGAAAAGGGCGTAGCATTGGAATCATCGTTTTTAGAAACATTGTAAAAAGTAAATGAATCATCCAATCCAAAACTGGTGTAGATACTCTGATACTTCAAATAGTGGAGTAGTTTTGA